CTACGCCGCCAGTCTGGGGAGACTGACCTGGAAGAAGACCTTGTGGCTGTTGCTGAGAGGAGGAAGGTTGTGCAAAACCAGCTTGGGCGCTAAACGTGTGTTGCATGGATTGCTGCTGTGGGGTGTGTGACGTGCTATAAGGCTGCTGCTGACCTCCAGCCTGTTGCTGCTGCTGTTGGGCTGCGGCAGCGGGAGGAAAGTGGTGCAAGCGCTGAAGGTGGGCGATGCGGTCTTGGGAGGACTGTGCATGTGATGGGATATGTGAGTTGGGGTTAAACTTGAGCGTTGAGGAAATATTGTTGTTATTGCTGTTGTTATTACTATTCATGCCCATCCCAGACATGTTACTCATATTAATACCCAAAGCAGCTGGATTGATGCCCCCTCCTCCTCCTCCTGTCGCACCATCGCGTACCCCACCCTCTGGCAGGGCTGAGTCACGCACACCCTGTGCCTGCTGCTGCTGCTGGAGGAGCTGTGCAGGGGTGAGGGTCATGGGGGGGTAGGAGGAGAGGTTCATCTGGTGTTGTTGGTGGTTGGCGGGAAAGGACGACTGGGGCTGGAATGCAGCGAGGAAGGCGGGGTTTATGTTTGCGGGCTGTGCCGGGAAGGAGGTGGACTGTGGACGGGATGGACCGGGATAGCTCATCGTCGCAGCTGTCGACGGCGAGCGTGGGAGTGTTCGATGCTCTAAGCCACCGACGACCACTTGATCGTTCACAACGTTGAAAATCTCACCGTGAGACTGGGCACAGGGCGCGGTCACTGTCACAGTCACAGTTCCCTTTTATGCTCTCCCGCCGGCCTTAGTTAATCCTAGTAGTGGGGATTGTACATCTCAAACAGTACTGTATCATTATGTTTTCACATCATTTTCTACTAAGGCCTAAGGTATATTACACCACCAAAAACACCCCATTGATCAAATAACACTTTATTATTAGTAATCATATATAAAAGTATATTTCACCTTAGCATAGTCATCTCAGCCAAATCCAGAAAGCTTTTAAAGCTTAGCAACTTCTTTGTATGATTGTTTAACTACAAAAATATTAGTCAAGTATATAGTAAATAGCAATGGGAATGATACCTAGGCCTCCACGTTCAATGACCGCAGGAGTGTACTCTCCTGTTTATTCTGTATTAGCAGCCAGCCACAATGCCAAAGTCCTTAAGAACAATCAGATCAGCCCTGACAATAAGGGCAGCACTCCTTTATCACCTATACCAGTCCCTCTGCTACTTTAAGGCTCAGGTGTAGTACAGCCTATTTACTGTACTAACACTGGCTATATGAAACCACACAAGGCTTGACAAGCCCCCAGCATAACCCTAAAGTACTGGAATGGCCGGAGCAGGTTTCCTGTCATAATCTCTCAATTCTACCCTATCTAAAACTGATAACAATAACAATTCCATTATATCTATAATTTCTCCCAATCTTATCTTATCATAGTCACATGACCAATCATGTGACCAATGACATAGTTACTTACAAAGACACTTACAAAGTGCCTCATGCCTTATGCATGTTGCTCAGTCAGTGCCTCATTGTCAGGCAACAAATATGAAGCTATATAACAACAACAGATGTCTGGTCAAGTCCCTGAAGAGGGCGGTGAATCAGAGTACTGAGGTTGAAGAGTATCGGTATAAGCGCAAATCCAAACTGATATTGGACTAAGGAATAATACATTGAGTATGTACTTCCTTATACAGTGAACAGCGACGGTCAGACCGAAAGAGGGAAGATGTCACGATCTTGGACTCCGCAACCCAATGTGAGGCAACAATAAACTATAACAAAAACAACACCTGTCTCCAACTGCACTTGCAGGGAGTAATGTCACGACTTGAGTCAGAGCGCTAGTTTCTTTTTTTTCATTTTCTTTCATTTTTCTTTTATATCTGATCACGTGACAAACATGTGACAAGAACACAAGATCAGTAGTTAGTCACGTGACAAAGCCTAGAATATAACGTAAGACATCAGTCAGCGCCTCATGGCTACTGCATGTCGCATCAGTCAGTGCCTCATGGCTGACCTTCAGAAATGTATATATACCAACACTCATGTACATACTTTCTTCAGTTGTTGATTACTTCTTAATCTAGTACTTGACACTACTTGTTGATCTTTGAGACTTGTCCCTCCGTTAACTCGGTATAGGGGATAGGAATCTTACACAATCAACAACTGTAACGAGTACCGTCTATGAACGTAACAACAGCTATCCTAACCATCATCATCATCCTTATCATCACTATCCTCACCTTACTCAAACTTTTTTACAAAACTCACACTCAACCCATCATCCCACTAAACAACATTCCCACTCGCCCCGACACTATCATATCATTTTTCCCAGCAAACATTGTCATGCACCAAAGTTGATTGGTAGCATGGACAGGTGCAAATAAGATGAGGAGGAGGAGGGTGGAGGTGACGGAAAAGTGGATTAGAATGGGGATCCAGAAACGACCATCAGGTGAGAATAAAAAGGAGAGGAAGGGGCCCATGGTGGGGCTAGGCAAAGGAAGGGGAGTAAGGGAAACGACAAAAGCGAGGGCGCAATGCAATGTGTAGCCAGTGGCGACGCGAAAATTTGCCGAAATGCCGAAACGCGGAAAGTACCGAATGGAAAAGCAAAGGTGAGCATGACTGGATTGCTATTCCACGTGGCACTGTGCCTGTGCGGCACAAAGGCGAGTCTTTTTGAATATTCGCTTCGTTATTGACACCCCCACCATTTCTGATGTCACCACTTCCTATCCGCTTCTGTCGCCAATCCGTAGACTACCACGTGCCACTGCTGATATCAGCAAAGCCCCGGCGGCCGGTTCAAATAGGGCAACAGGTCCATCTTTATGACATCGATCTACCATCATATACTATCAAAACATCGGTCGCTCGTCTTGCCTGGTTGGAGCATGGGTGGGTAATTTTTGAGCTGGAGAAGGTTCATCCCCTTGCGTCGCCCATGTTCATCGCTGTCCCATTCACTTGGGTACACTTATCTTTTGTCCATCGTCTTCGCTACAGCTACACCTACCACACGCTGCCTGGGACTCACTTGTTCCAAATTGGAACTACTCCTCTCCCTCCCTCGTTTGATCAGGTGGTCCAACATAACCAGTCCATTGGTAAGGCCATGGAACTGTTGGATTTGGACTAGGTGGTGGACTGGTGGCTCCAGTTTCTTTTTTTTCAGCAGAACATTCATTTGCAGTGCAATTATTTTTGATTTTTGAATCATTTTTATGGACACATATTTTTTAGAATGCCTGACTGACAATAAAGGAACTGTGTTGATACTGATAGTGTTTTGCCTTGCCCTTTGTTTACTGCATCTTCCCATGACATCATGATTTTCCTGCTCTCTTTTTGCTATTGGACTTTACTTTATGGCTGTACAAACCTGTGACATTACTCACAGCATTCATTGTTCTATCTCTTTCTTTTCCTTTTTTGACAATCTTATCCTGTACTACCTACATAGGATTCGTCAGCATACATTCCTTCCTTCATGTTCTTTCTCATTCTTTTTGCACAGCTATACTGTGCATAGCCTACTTTTCTTTTACTATATAAACTCCTGTATTTTACCTTGTAAAAAAACAAGAACTCGATTCCAGACTTCTTCTCTAAATCTCAAGTTCGCTACTCACTACTACTTGTGATCCAGTGTGGTCACAACACTTCCCACTTCTACCACTGTCAACTGCTGTCATCGTCACTTCCCACTTTTGAAGTCATTGTCATCCCTTTCGATTAGAGTCCTTCTGAGCACTACAGTTTGTGTGTCAGGAGCCTGCTATCACTGGGAACCTCGTCATCTTGTCATTCTCAAACCTACCTTGTGCTACGATTAGCAAGGTAGTGCTCGTCTATACTCGCCACAAAGCCCCTATCTTTCTATAAATTCAACTATCCCTCCTCCTCAAAACCCACACTCATACACCTCTGGGTTTTACTTTGAAGGATCTTTATACATACCACCCCACAAACAACCAGACCACTCCACTGTTCTAGGAGGCAAAGCCCATAAACAAGTTCCGTGGAATCTGGGAGGATTGTGTGTTAGTTTGTTTTTGTTACGATAACACAATTTCCGGACATCTCCTGTCCTTTTTATTCTCCGCTTTAACTTTATACTTTAAGTGCCACGCGGCATTTCCCTTTCTCGCACCGCGTTGCCTTTCTTTTACTTTTAGACTTAACTCTCTCATGCAGTGGAGCTGGCCATACGGGCTAGGCCCTATGACATCATCAGCCACTGCCTTCATCAACTGTATAGTACACATGTACAAACAACCTGTAGTAGTATATATACCCCAATAGATCCAGGAGACTCCTCAGCGAGTCCTCCTGTTGTATACCAACAAACTCTCTGCAGCTTAAGGGGTAACCACTCCCTCAAACATCTTCTTTATAGTGTGTTCTTGTGTGCGCCAGAGTAACTAACTCTTGGTTGTTACATTAGGACTCGCTCTTTCTACTCTCTCGCACGTTTGTGCAAAAAGTCCCACTGGGCACCCGGACTCCAGGGTGAAGGAGATTGGTTAGCGGTTAGGAATATCCCACATAGCAGATAGGTGCGCTCCTAGCGACGGCCTTGTAGTGCTTCGGGAGAAGAACGCAAACCTTTGATACGCGGCCCCCAGCGTTAAGGGGAGTACCTTAGCTCAGCAGTCGGTGTGGAACCACTGTTGATTAGATTTAGAATACAAAGCTTTCACTTTCGAATACCTCTGACCAGGCCGGACACTTGCCTCCGCCAGTCTGGAGAAGGGTTGACAGCTTAACAAGCGGACCACCCCCTGACAACTGTTCGGACCAGGGTTTATTACGTTTACATTTTATATACATTTTCAAATACTATAGTGTGGGTAGTCGGAGATTGAGATCCGATACTCAGCTGGGAAGAGGTTGATCCGCAGATAGCAAGCGGGGACCCCCAGTTACCTATTTTTACGTTACCCAAAGAGAACAAGTCGACATGTCGTTGCAATCCCAAGATATGAATGTGCTACTGCACGCAATGCGTGTGCAGATAGCTGAATTAACCTCGCAGCTCGCCGAGATACAGGCCAACCCCCCTGTAGCAACCCCCTCGGTAGAGAAAAAGTTTAATAAGAAAGTCGAAGTCGTCGCTGACCCTGGCGCCTTCGAAGGAGACAGAGCGCGATTTGCCGAATGGTGGATCAAGCTCCAGATTTGGGTCAAGGCGAACTGGGACGCTTTCGCCGACGACTTTGAGGTAGCCACTGCGGTGCTATCTCGCCTAAAAGGACCTGTGGCGGGTCGATACGCCCAAGTAAGACTCCAGGAATGCTACACCGCGGGTGTGTGGCCCACCTGGGACGATCTCAAAACAGAGATCGAAAAATATTTCAAACCGCAAGCTGAGCGTGACTAGGCGCGTCAGCAAATCCGTTCCTTCAAACAAGGAAACATGAGGACGGATGATTTCGTAACCCGGTTCCTGGCCCTCTCAATCCAAGGGGGTCTTGGCAATGAACACGCAGTGGAACTGCTAGAACGCAATGTGAACCCTCGCATTGCCGAACAGATCTATCTGCAGGATACATGAAGTGACAACTTGGCCCTGGCGGCTGAGGAAGTACGACGAGTCGGTAGAGCCATAAAGCTCTACACCATGCACCAAGGTGGCGAGTCCACCAAACAAAACAACATACCCCAGAGGCGCCCTGGGTCATCAAACCAACATCATAATCACTCTCACGGGTTCAAGCCGTTCGGGCTGCAACCAGGACAGGGTGCTCCTATGGATATCGGCGCGGTCCAAGGCGGACAAATGCGCAGATTCAAGGGCAACTGTTACAACTGCGGCCAAGAGGGACACATGTCCCAAGACTGTAGAAACGGGGCGCAGGCTGCCCAACAAAAAAATAATCAAGGGCGCCAGGCGCGCCAACTAGAAATCGAAAAGCCGGACGATCAGCTCAACTCTTTGGCCGGTCGTTCTTACGACGAAATCCGGGCCTTCTTCTATGACCAACAGGTCAACGAAATGAAGGCTCAGGGAAAAGAATTCGGGGCTTAGGTCACTTGGGTACCTTAGCTCCTGGTAAAAATGAAGTAAACCACAACAAAGTGGCCCCTGCTCCGGGGTGTTGCACGAGCAATAACGGAATGACGGGGATGGCTCCCCAATTTGTAAATATGTTTTTAAATTTGTTATCAGAAGTATGTACTTGTATGAAGGAATGTAACTGTAATATTTATGATACTACCGCTGCACCAGCGTCTCCCTTGGAGTGTGGCCCCGGCGAGACAAACACTAGGGTGCTTGATTCTGGTAAAACAAAAATAGAAAAACATGTGTCATTCAAAATTTCTTCTTCTTCTTCTTCTTCTTCTTCTTCTTCGGAGCCACCCTTTCCCGAAATCCCAAGGCGTGTGTTGATGCACACGTATTTATTCCAAAAGGAGATCCGTTTAGACGTTGGCGTGGAAAACCTTGCCAGGGGCAAAGTACACTCAACGAGCGCACTGCTTGATTCAGGCGCTAACGGGATCTTCATAGATCAGGTCTGGGCGGAGCAAATTGGACTCCCCCTTGTAAAATTAGAAACATCTATTCTCGTCTATAACGTTGACGGTACGCTTAACGCAGGTGGCTGTATTACACACAAATGTTCTTTTGTGGTCGAATACCAAGGACACAGAGAACGAGTCACTGCCGAGGCTACCCAACTAGGGAAGATTAATTTAATCTTAGGCTGGACCTGGCTATTCAAACACAATCCTGAGATCAACTGGCAGACAGGGGTTGTCACATTGTCACGTTGTCCCCAGGAATGTGTAAACTTGGGTAAACCAAATCATGTCCATCACAATGAGCGTCTCGAAAAGTTAAACGCTAGTCACGTTTACGAGCTCAGATCTTTAGAAAAGATCGACGATGACGATGATGAGGTAAAACCTGAGGAAGAGATTAAGAGGCTGGTACCTCCCGAGTACCACAACTTCTGGAAAGTCTTTTCGAAACACAAATCAGAGCGCTTCCCAGAGGCTAAGCCTTGGGACCATGCGATAGATTTGAAAGACACCTTCAAACCAAGGAAGGGACACATGATACCGCTCTCTGCTCCCGAAAGAGACGAGGTATCTAGTTTCATAGACGAACAACTTAGGAAGGGTTACATCAGACCTTCCAAAAGTCCTATGACGTCCCCGGTGTTCTTCATTCCTAAAAAGGATGGTAAAAAGCGAATGATTATGGACTATCGTTACGTGAATGAGCACACAGTTAAAAATGCGTATCCGCTGCCTTTGATTAGTCAGCTGGTGGACAAACTGGCTGGCGCCAAAATCCTGACAAAAATGGATCTCAGATGGGGGTACAACAATGTACGAATCAAAGAGGAAGATGCTTGGAAGGCCGCATTCACGTGCCACCGAGGATCTTTCGAACCCCTTGTTATGTTCTTTGGGTTGACCAATTCACCGGCGACCTTCCAGAGCATGATGAACGAGATCTTTGCGGATATGGAAAACTGTGTCGTCATTTACATTGACGATTTATTAATATTTACAAAGTCGGACGATGAGGCTGAGCATGACAGGATCGTGCAAGAAGTCCTTCGACGCTTACAGGAACGGGACCTATTCGTTAAACCCGAAAAATGTAATTTTAAAGTGAAGGAAGTAGACTTCCTCGGTATGATCATAGGCCAGAACGGAATCAGGATGAACCCTGAGAAAGTTCAAGCTATTTTGGAATGGCCAGAACCTACTCGCGTCAAAGGAGTTAGGGCTTTCCTAGGCTTAGGTAATTTCTACCGAAGGTTTATTGAAAACTTTGCAAAAATCACGAGACCGTTGAACGATCTCACCAAAAAGGACCTTGTTTGGCAGTGGGGCGCCAAAGAACAGGAAGCTTTTGATAAGCTTAAACAGGCATTTACAACAGCGCCCATATTGGCATTCCCTGAATTAGACAAAGAGTTCCGGCTAGAAACCGACTCTTCTGACTTCGCCACTGGGGCTGTTCTATCAATCAAAAGCCCTGATGATCTTTGGAGGCCTTGTGCCTATTTATCGCATAGTTTGTCGCCTACAGAGCGCAACTATCAAATATACGACAAAGAGATGCTGGCCATCATTAGAGCTTTAGAGCACTGGCGGCACTACTTAGAAGGTGCTAGGCACCAATTCGAAATTTGGACCGATCATAAGAACCTAGAGTACTTCATGACGGCCCGAGACCTGAACCGGAGACAAGCCCGCTACGCGGTGTACTTGTCAAGGTTCAATTATAAATTAATTCATAAGCCAGGAAGCTCAATGGGGAAAGCGGATGCTTTATCTAGAAGAGAGGATCATGCCAACGGCATTGAAGATGACAACAAAGGTGTCACCCTGTTAGATCAATCAAGGGTTGCCAATGTTAGAATCGGGCAAGATTCCGCTCTCCTGGAAGTCTTCAGGAAAGACATCTCCCCAGAGGAAAAGGCGCGCCTTGACGGCAATAAAAACTATTCATGGAAAGACGGGCTCTTTCATTTCAAAAACAAAATCTATGTGCCTGAGTCCGCAAGGATCAAGGCAATGGATAGACATCATGACACTCCAGTGGCTGGGCACCCTGGATGGCAACGAACAATGGAGTTGATCTCCAGAAACTACATGTGGCCGGGCATGGTCAAAGACATACAGGAATACGTAAAATCCTGTCTAAGATGCGCCATGGCCAAGAATTCCCATCAACCGCCGGCGGGTAAACTCATGCCGAACCCGATACCAGCTGGCCCCTGGCAGGATATATCGGTGGACTTCACGACGGATCTGCCCGAGTCAAATGGGTACGATTCAGTAATGGTGGTAGTGGACCGCTTCTCCAAAGAAGTGGTATTCATACCCACCAACAAAACCATCACCGCCGCCGGTACGGCAGACCTATTTAAGGATTTCGTATGGTCAATCCATGGGTTACCAGAAACGGTAATCTCCGATAGAGGACCGCAATTCGCTAGCGAATTTACGAAAGAATTATGCTGGATGCTGGGCATCAAACCTAAATTATCCACGGTGTTCCACCCGCAAACCGATGGACAAACGGAGAGACTCAACCAGGAGTTGAAACAGTATCTCCGGATATTTATTAACGACAGACAGACAGATTGGGCCAAGTGGCTAAAGATAGCCCAGTTCTCTTATAATATTAAACAGTCATCGGCTACAGGAAAGGCACCATTCGAGGTTACTAGATCGTACCTCCCCAGAATGGGTGTAGAACCTGGCAAAAGCAAAAACGAGGCTGCTGGGAACATGGCAAAAGACATGAAGTCTGCCTTGGACGAAACGCGCAAAGCGCTATTTAAAACTGCGGAGCAGATGAAAGACAGGGCAGAGCGTAGACGCTCTAAGGCCCCTGATTACAAGGTCGGCGACCTGGTCTGGTTAGACACCGACCACTTGAAATTAAAAGACCGGCAGTCTAGAAAACTGACCGAAAAGTGGATTGGCCCTTACCGGATTAAGGAAGTCAAACCTAATGCGGTGGAGCTGGAACTCCCAAAACGAATGAGGGTGGTACCCACGGTTAACATTAGCCGTGTGAAACCCTACAAAGGACCGCTGCCGGGACAGCGCGTAGACCGGCCCGGTCCGGTAGTAGTCACCCAGGAAGGTGAAGAAGAGTTCGAAGTCGAACGGGTGGTAGATGCACGCTTGAAGCATGGAAAATTAGAGTTCCTGGTCCTATGGAAGGGCTATGGAGACGAGGACAGAACGTGGGAACCAGAATCCCATCTGGAAAACTCCCGCGACGCTGTTCGCGAATTTTATTCTAGGAATCCCTCAGCTCCCAGGAAGCTTAGAGGCATGGATTCAAACCTTTTTAATTTCCTCTTTCAACCTATGCCCGAAAATTTTACCACTACCTCCGGAATTTGGTCTCGCCTGGAAGTCGAGCCTTAGAAGGGGGGTAGTGTTACGATAACACAATTTCCGGACATCTCCTGTCCTTTTTATTCTCCGCTTTAACTTTATACTTTAAGTGCCACGCGGCATTTCCCTTTCTCGCACCGCGTTGCCTTTCTTTTACTTTTAGACTTAACTCTCTCATGCAGTGGAGCTGGCCATACGGGCTAGGCCCTATGACATCATCAGCCACTGCCTTCATCAACTGTATAGTACACATGTACAAACAACCTGTAGTAGTATATATACCCCAATAGATCCAGGAGACTCCTCAGCGAGTCCTCCTGTTGTATACCAACAAACTCTCTGCAGCTTAAGGGGTAACCACTCCCTCAAACATCTTCTTTATAGTGTGTTCTTGTGTGCGCCAGAGTAACTAACTCTTGGTTGTTACAGTTTTTGTGTGTGGTTTTCTAACAACAGTTCTCATCATCGACACCGGTGCGGAGAAAAAGGACATATGAGTTTCAAGTGCAAAGATGCACAAACAAAGAAACCCCAGTTTAATGTCCGAAAATTCTTAGAGAAGATGACAAAAGAGGAAAGAGAAAAACTCCTGGTGGGTTTTTAAAGAGGCTAGCAGTACCGCATCAACTGGCTGCGCCCCAAAAAGACATTCCAAATCGATTTCTCCCTTTAACT